CAACAACGACAGCCAGTTCAAGAAGTCGACTAGGGCAAACAGAGGGGGGAGATATGACTTCTACACTCCCCTGAATGCACCTAGAGTCCACATCCTAGAGGAAGCCAGCAATAGCAACCTACTTGCCCTTCCACCACCAGGTCACACTCCCAACAGCGCCGACAAGTCCAAGCACTATCGGTACCACAGGAACCACGGTCACACCACGGAGGAGTGCCGCATGCTCCGGGACCGTATCGAAGAGCTCATCCAGGCAGGTCACCTCGGCCAATACGTCCAGCGACAGCAGGGTCACCGAGGCGGCTATGGTGGTTGGGGACGGGGCAGAGGCCGTGGTTCGGGAGCTCGCACGGGCCAACCCTCTGGCTCCCAACAAAATGCCGGCGGCGTAGTGCAAGCCGAGATAAGCTAGGAGACCGGGACAGCCCCATTACGGGGAGTGATTAACACAATCGCAGGTGGTTTCGCTGGGGGAGGCGCCAGCAGCTCAGCCCGGAAGAGACACCTACAGAATATCAATTGCATCCACTCTACCACCTCGGCCTCGCACCAGAGCTCACCGCCGGTCTCTTTCTCTAACGAGGACTACGCTGGTGTCAGCCCTAACCAAGATGATCCCATGGTTATCGTCGTGGAAGTCGCCAACTGGGAGGTACAGAAGACACTCATTGACCAAGGGAGTTCGGCTGACGTCCTGTACTGGCCGACATTCCTCAGGTTAGACGTCCCCCATTCTCTCATCCAACCTTACACGGAGCCCCTAGTCGGTTTCGCATGAGAGCAAGTTCACACTCGGGGGTACGTAGACCTACTGACAACCTTCGGAGTACCTCCGGACACAAGACGGGTCATGGTTCGGTACCTCCTCGTGGAAGCCAACACTTCCTACAACATAATCATCGGGAGGCCAACCTTGAATCAACTCAGAGCAGTAGTGTCCACCCCACACCTCACCATGAAATTCCCAGGGAATGACGGTAAAATCATCTCCGTCAAAGCAGATCAGAAGACAACTCGGTAGTGCTACGCCGAGAGTCTGAAGGTCTCCTCGTCCAGCAAGCAAAGCAAAGGGGATCCCCCCACCGTAGCTCACATCACCCGCGGGGAGGCCACTGATCTTGGCCCGAGGACTGATCCTCGTAGTCTTCCTTAAGTTCCATTCAACTAATTTTGTATGAACGAGTTGTGCACTCTTTTCCCGCCTCAGTCTTTGACTGAGAGGATTTTTAACGAGGCACACAGACATAATCAATAAAATGACTCATCTTGCTCAATCCATATTCTTATTTTATGTTTTTATAGAGGACGAGATCGAACCAACCTCTTTCACTTTCACCAAGGTCGAGTTCTAACCTTAATAAAGTCATTTTACTCCAATTTAAGGTCGAGTACGAACCTTAAGCACACTTATCCGAGGTTGAGTCCGAACCTCGTTAAAGTTTGAGGTCGAATACGAACCTCAACACTGTTATCCAAGGTCGAGTTCGTTCCTTAATAAAATCATTTTACTCCAATTTAAGGTCGAATACGAACCTTAGGCATGCTTATCCGAGGTCGAGTTCGAACCTCGTTAAAGTTTAAGGTCGAATACGAACCTCAACACTCTTATCCAAGGTCGAGTTCGAACCTTAATAAAGTCATTTTAATGAAAATGTGAAGCAACATGCTCAAACACTAAAAGAGGAGGTGAAAACAATGTTTCAATCATCGATCAATCAAAGTATCATACAAAAACTAAGTTTTATTGAGTTACTACAACGTTTTGGTGTATCATATCATTTCCAACAAGAAATTAACCAAACATTGGAACAAATTTCTAACACTTTTGCAAAAACTAAGAATATCGGTGAAGATGGTGATCATCACTCTCTTGCTCTACTCTTTTGTATACTTAGACAACAAGCATATCCAATTTCACCAACTATGTATAAAACTTGTCATTCATATTTAGATTATAAGGAAAAATACACTATATATGCCTATATTTAAAGTCATTAAATAACTATTGTTTGTTATATATCTATTAATTGAGCATATGTATTTAACAAATTCAAAAATGAGTAAGGAAACTTCAATGAAACCCTTGCCAATGATATTCAACGTTTGTGCTGTAACACCCCAAATTTTCTACTAATGCAATATTTACTATTATTTATTTTTATATTTATGAAGATTATTTTCTTATAGTTATTTTAGTTAATTAAAAGGGGGTTTTATAGAATATTGTAAAGGTTTTTAATAATTTAAATCATTTATGAAATTCTTTATATAAAAGTATTTTTTTAGGCTAGAACGGGCTGTTTCAAAAGTGGAACGGGTCGTTCCAAATAACAAAAATAAGCTATTTTTGAAGTATCAGAACGGGCCGTTCCAAAAGTAGAACGGGTCGTTCCAGAAGTAGAAGGGGCCGTTCCAAATTTGTAAAAAGGCCTATTTTGGTTTTTCCAGAACGGGCTGTTCCCAAAGGGAAACGGGCCGTTCCGAGATTTTAAAAATGCCTAAAAAGTTCTGTTGTAAACGGGCCGTTCCAATGATGTTCAATGTGTGTAAAAATGGATCCCAGAACGGGCCGTTCTAATTTTAGAAGGGGTCGTTCTGCTTTTTGAAAACGGGCCGTTCTGATTTTAAAACGGGCCGTTCCAGTTGAAAAATTTGCCTATATTTGAAGGCTCCGGAACTGGCCGTTCCGAATTTAGTACGGGTCCTTCCGGGTACGCCTGGATGCCTATAAATAGGAGGCAGGGGGTGAAAAAAATTATAATTGAATGAGGAGGTGAAAATTTTAGAGAGAGAGAGAGATAGAGAGAGAGAGAAAGAGAAAGAAAGAGAGGGAAAGAAAGAGGAAATCTAGAGGAGGAGGTTCTGCTCAAGTTTTAGCTCCTGTTTATCCAAGTAAGGGGGAGGAGAACCTTATCTCTTTAAAATTTTATATACTACTATATTTATTTATTTGTTATTTTTTTATGTATATCTATTTAGTGGGGTGTCCCTAACCTCATTTTATATTTATTTAGTGGGGTGTCCCTAATCTCATTTATTTTCTTATTTATAATTATTTTTACTCATAATAATTAATAAGATGTTCATATTTTATATTGTTTAATTATTCTATAATGATTATCATTTTCATTTATATGATTGATACTGTTAATATATTCTTGTTACGTAAATATATTTATTGTAAATATATTTTATAATCAACTATAATATAGTTTCAATATCTTTGATTCGTCTTGTTGTTATTTCTTCACGTATTTATGAAGATAAATATTGTTCTATGGCCATAGAAGATAAAGTTTGAATTATTTGTAGCTGGAGGTTTGACCTTGGGAATTTAAATGAGTAAGAAATAAAGGTGAAATATCCTATTGTTGGTTAAGGTGAAATATCCTTTTATTGGTTGATATTATGATGATGCTCATTTATCCTGACTAGTCACTACAAGTATAATTCAAATTTTATTGTATCATGAAAATCTAATATATGATCTGTATATTTATTTATTTATATATATATATATATATAACATTGATTATAAATAATTTTGTGTATTCTTGTATTTATTGGATATTGTTCTTACTCCTTTCTTTTCTTTGTTTTTTTAAAATTAAATATATTATAAAATAGATGGATCTACCGGCCATACCAGGTCCTTTTACAGTTGTTATTACTGCTGTCCTACTTGGGAGGAATTGGAATATGGAGGCTATTTGATAGATCTGTTATAATTTTATTTTCCAACCATATTATTTCAATTGTCATTTTCTTTCCACTATTAATGTAAATATTGTAATAGAAGGGGAAGAAAGAAATAATGTGTAAAATAGTACGTAATTGCAAATATTTTAGAACAATATGTCACGTAATAATTTTACAAAATATTCTTTTTCTTTATTTTTATCTTCTTTTAAAAAAAAAATACATTGTTAATGATATAATTGCGAAAATATTATATAAGAAAATATATAATTATTATTATACAATCGGGTGTTACATGTGCAGCTTGTATGAAGTTGCACATCTAAGAACTCATGAAGATGATATATTGGAAGAAGCTTGGGACTTCTCCAAAACTCATCTTAAATTATTGGTCGACCAAGTAAGCTCATCTCTTGCAAAACAGATCAATCACTGCTGAAGGCAGCCTCTTAACAAGAATGTACCTAGGTTTGAGGCAAGGTATCACATGACTCTCTATGAACAAGATCCTTCCCATATTGAAACTTTGCTAACCTTTGCAAAAGTAGATTTCAACATTCTTCAAAAAATGCATCAAATGGAAATTGGTATTATCTCCAAGTAAGTCCCTTATCTTTAAATTTATTTTCCCCATAGTGAAAACATTCATAAAAAAATTAATAAAGTAATTTAAATTATTAAGGTGTAGTTTTTTTTTTTTTTTTTTTTTTTTTTTTTTTTTTTTTTTCCCGGAAAAAATCAAACTTTGTGAAAAGGATCCCCTTTGCTAGAGATAGGTTAGTTGAGTCCTATCTTTGGTCATTGACAATGTCCTACAAGCAAGAACATAGCAATGGGCCGGAGAATGATGACAGGAAAAACAATTGCTTTTATGACTATTCTAGATGATACTTATGATGCTTATGGCACAATTCATGAACTTGAACTCTTCACAGAAGCAATTTTGAGGTTGATGCATTTCACAAATTATATATATATATATATAAGAGAAAAATGATTTTATAAACATCATGATTTACTTTTAGCCAGTGACTTAAAGTTTTTGTCAATAATTACTTTTTTCTTTTTAAATTTCAGATGGGATATTAATCTTATTAAATCTCTTCCACAGTGCATGAAAGTGATATTTGACATGCTTGTAGAATTGTGTGAAGAAATAGAGTTGATGACAAAGGAGAGTGGAAAATCAAGTTTTGTGGTGCCATATTTTAAACAAGCTGTATGATTATCCTAATTCATATATATATTTTCTTAATTGAATACTTTTCTCTACGGGATTCAGTATATTGGTTATTTTACTTGCAGATTTTTACCTTCACAAAAGGCTATATGGTTGAAGCAAGATGGTGTCTCGAGGGTTACATTCCAACATATAATGAATATAAAGTTAATGAAATCTTAACAACCGGTATACCTGTTCTTCTAACAACATTTATTGGCGCAGGAAAATTTACAACAAAAGATGTTTTTGATTGGATTTTCAGTGATTCAAAAATCATTGAAGTTGCATCAGTAATTGGTAGATTCTTGGATGTTTTTGTTCAATTTTTGTTGGATATTTAGTTAGCTTTTTCTTAATCATAATTCAGTTTTTTTTTTAATCAACAAAAGAGATATATTAGAATGGTACAAGAAATACCAAAACTTATATACAAATCATTGTTTAGAGCTAGTCCAGAAACTATTTAATTAAGCATTTGATATAATAGGTTACATTCTATATATAAAATAGTGAAATAAATAGAGAATAACCAACCGATCAGCCAATCACCTCTTGACTATATAATAGCAACCTAACCAAAAAACCGTTATCCACTTCCCCCCAAATCCTACTTATATAAGGCCAATGGAATATCCGGAAATCGCAATCATCAAACCAATCTGCCGCAACATGTTTGTACTACACACTTCTCCAAATTGTTAATGTTTCCATGTATTTGATATTTAATTCCTCTGCTATATATGCTTCTTTAGTCCACTAAAATAGCCTGCTACATGCACAATTGTACAATCACCCTCCTTGGACTTAAACAGGTCCACAAGTCGCGACATACTCGTTAATTTTACAGGCTGCCCCTGCACTAGATAATAGATATTGAGTAAAGCTCCAATCTCCCTTTTATCTCCATTCCATATCAGACTTAGAACAGAATAGGAGGCCAAGGAATGATATTGCCTAGGTGCACTACTAGGCGGGTCATAATTGTAAGTGATAGTTACAAGAGAGCCCCTGACGCTTAAGGTTGACGCCCTAGCAAGTACCTATATGCTCCTACAGGCTCTCTTCATTCTTGGATTGTGTTTTGTATATCTTACATACCAACCCACGAATATACACCACCATATCTCAGAATTTACTATAAAAAAAATTAGCAAGCCATTGGACATAACTGAAATTAAACTATTTATGTAACCATAACCCGGACCAAGATTTGTTCTCGATTGCCTATTTTAATTTCTGGATGTCAAAACTACCACCTATGAAAATACAATTATTCTTGAGTCCCCATATATTTCATATGATTGCATACCATACCAACCTCCACCTCTTTATTTGAATCTTGGATGAAGTGCTATATGTCACTTAGTTGAAATGTTGAGCTGTGGAGTATGAAAGGACAGTAGAGATGGAAGCCCAATTATTGTAGCATCCCTTCCATAGTGTATCAATCTCCTTGCATAAGAAGAAAATATGATAAGCTAATTCAACATTTGAACTGCAGAATCTGCTTATGCAATTTCCCTATGGTAGATTGATGTTTCTTCTCTTTAGATTATCAGTGGTTGACATTCAATTTTAATTGAGTCTCCAAATCAAAGTTACTGCTTTCGAGGGAATTGAGTTTATTTCTATTCCATACTTCGAGTTCTGTATATATAGTTCTATATGTAGACTTAATTGTGAACACCGCTTTAGTCCCATCAACCCAACACCAAGTATCTTATTTTCCTTTTTCCAAAGTAATATTCTGAAGCCGACATTGTAGTCCACCCCACTTGTAACAACCCAATTTTTATAGAATGTACAAGGACTCAAAAGGTCAATAAGGGTAATTTAGTAATTTACAGGAGTATTTTAGTAGTCCAGAACGGGCCGTTCCAAGTTACTAAAACGAAAGTGATTTAGTGGCTCGGAACGGGCCGTTGCAAACTATTAAATTTTCCTATGATTCTTAGTTGGGAACGGACCGTTCTGGTTTGGGAACGGGCCGTTCTGGATGTGAATTTTACTCATGATTTAAGGGTCCAGAATGGGTCGTTCCGAATTTGGAACAGACCGTTCCGGAGACACCTGATTCCTATAAATAGAGCACTCTGAGGTCACCTCCTCGGCGTCTGGAGGGGCAAAGGTCCCCCCGACCTCCTTCGCTCCCCTCTTTCTTTTTCGGTTTTCAGGGGGGAAGCGTCTTCCTCTCGAGGCTCGGGGACCTCGAGCTCGGTAACATTGTAGCGATGCTTTAGCTCACGCCACAAGTTCTTCCCCATGATACCTACAGATAGGAAATAAAACACATCAGCAAAGGGAATTTACACAAACTCCAACAAACCACAAAAAAAAAATACTCACTCTCCAAGCCCCTCTCCCTGTACGCTGAGTTCGCAAGCGACAGAACGAGCTTGCAATCCAGCGGACGAGGAAGCGCGGCGAGGTTCTCGATGGCGGCCGCCTCCGAAGCCGTCAGCTTCACTTGGCCCACACCATGAAACCTAGACGGTCGGGGGCACCAATAGAAGGGAAATTTTGGCACCCCGCCGAAGTAGAACGCCCCATCCTCCAATGGGTCGACATTCACAAGAGCGACTCAGAAAAACTCTTGTTTGAAATTTTTGTACGACTGGGAGTAGAGAGTAAACAAACCCCCATCCCTACTCCCACTCAGAGATAGTATGCCGTATAGCGGAACACCTAACTTCAACTGGTAAAAATGAAGGAAGACGCGAAGAGACACCTCTATCTCTAAAACTGTACACAGGACTTGAAAAGCCCTCAAAAAACCCCAACTATTGGGGTGCAACTGGTAAGGAGCCGAGTTGACAAAGTTCAAAAAATAACACTCGAACTGAGTGAAGGGAAGAAAGACACCTAAATCCCTAAAAAAACAGTGGTACATATAGAAATGGGGAGGGTCGGTAGACTTCCCCATGTACACGCCCTCACCGGCCTGACAGGGTTCAAGCCAGATCATCCGGGAAATGGAGAGGTCACAAACTCTACACGATCTCGGGATCCCATTAACCTCAAGAAAGGACCGAAAAATGCTATGGACCCCCGCCATCTCACGCCTGACCCAGTCGTAACCAGGGATGTCTGGCTCCAAGTCCTTGGGCAGAGGCGGGTCCTTCTTCTCGACAGCGGCTTTTCCGATAGCCACCGCCTTGCCGCGCGCCTTGCCCCTGGCAGGCGCAGAAGAATCGGCACCACTTCCACCAGCCATTAAAGAAAAAGAAGAGTTGGGAAGAAGAAAAAGAAGATCTGGG